TTTTTTTTTTTTTTTGTATCCGAGGCGAGCCAGGAAAATTGAAGACACCCAAAACTGAAAATTCAAATTGCTAATTTTCAAATCGATGTAAGATCAATTCATTACGGCTAATTTTCAGTCCCTTTATTATTCAAAAGTAGCATATAAGGCATTTTTGACATTAATCATCATATTTTTTCTTTTAGTTGAAATTCGAATTTCAATAAAATCATATTATGTACATTTAATTGTAATAATTAATTATTATTTTTTATTTGAACTAAACCTAGCTAGTTAAATAAAGGAAATATGGTTTAATAATAAAACCAAATTAAAATCCGTTGCAGAAACTCATAATTATGGCACCAATTTAAATCCGTTGCAAAATTATGTTACTAATACCGTAATTATGGCACCAATACTAATCCGTTGCAAAAATTCGTTACTAATACACTTATTTCTAGTAGTGAATGCATAATGCCAACCGAATGCATAATGCCATATGGAACAACTTCGGTTTGGTTTCGGTTATTTTCGACATTACAAAAAATTCAAATCAAAATAAAAAAAATATAAAATTGAGTTAATTTAAGTATTTCGTGTGCTGCCAAATTGAGAACAAATAATTTGGGAGTCTTGCAATAATGTCTCGGGGAGAATTGAAAATTAAGGGTTTTTTTTTTTCAAAACAATAAATATTAAAATAAGAACAAGAAAAACACGGGAGGCAAATAGCCCCAATAGTTCGAGGAAAGAAAACAACAGAGCCCATCCACATGATGACTAAACACCTAAAACAATACTTCAAACAAATCAACTACACAAATCAAGCTATAGGCAGGATACCTGAATCCTATAGCTACATCAATTGTAGAGCTAGTACAACCCAGTGCGAGAGAGATCACAAAAGGGGTAGATTTTTTTTTTTTTTTTCGCTTAGTTATGTCAGGAGACGACCAGGAAGTTCCTTTTGGAATTGACATTCTGGCGAAAACTAATGATGACGACGATAAGAGATTGGGGAGTCGGATGTATGGAAGTTAGGACGATTTTGAGAATAGAGATTGAAAGAAGTATACTAGTAAAACCAAAAGCTTTAAGTATAAGTGAGAGGTTGTTGGTGTATATAATAACAGCTTGTCTTTAAATGTAATTTACACTAATCCCGTTTGAATGAGAATCATATTTAATTAAACAATTTATATTCTAATGTTCTACATGTAGATATTGTGATCCATCACGGATGAGAAAAAAGATTACACATCAGTTACTTGTATAACATGAGTGTTCGGTTCACAACCTAGATGGAAATGAACAACCATAGTGAACGGTTGTGTTAACCGTGGTTTGTCTTGACTGATTAGTTACACTAGTGCAATGTATGCATTAAACAGATCGCAGAGAGAGGAAGTTCGTTTTATACTGATCGTCGTAAACGAACTAGGCCTCGATTAGTTACTGCGTATTCTTAACCCGTAAAAGATTGTTGTGTACAAATTTTTATTTTTCGAGTACCGCATCAAAGGATTCGTTTTCCGGGAAGGTTGGCTGGATTACTATGCACGTGTATTCAACCACAAAAAGAGAAATACAATTCCTAAACATTCTAATTCAATGATTGAGTTTGATGGCTGGATTACTATGCACGTTTATTCAACCACAAAAAGAGAAATACAATTTCTAAACATTCTAAGATTGGGTTTGATTTTATATTAGCAACTACGAAGAACAAAAATGCAAATTCAGAAAGCAGAAGAAAATCAATCAATCGACGAGAATAGGGAAGCTAGGCAGTTGGGGATAATAATCTTGGTTCGATATGCAATTTTTAGGCAAGTGATCATTTGGTTGAATGATTTGAATAACCTACGCGTTCAGATACTCATCCTCATTAACTTTTCTTAATAAGAGAACAAATGTGAACGACAAGTTAATAAGTCATTTAACACATATGCAATACAGTTACGAACAATCCTATCTTATACGAGCCTATATCGACCGACTCCTCCCCTTTCGATTATAAGAGTCATTAGACTAGAGGGTGATTAATCGACTAATCAATAAGAACAACCAACATTATGCAAGAATAAATCGAACTAAATTGAAAACAATTGGAAATTGAAGTGTCACCCTTCAACAATTCTCAATATTCAAGCTTGATAATTGAAAAACCCTTTTAACAGATCGACTCACATAAAAGAATGATCAACAAATACCGCAATTACAAACGAATCCAAAACATAAATTCCCTATCCCTAGCATATGGATTTAGCCAATCAAAATTGATTCAACACAAACAATCTCATAAATCAAGAAGAGTATATTCATGGATTAAAAGAATAGAAAGTCTTACGATTAAACCAAACTGAGAGTTGAATCCGATAAACAAGATTAATCTAAAAGCAACGATAAAATTCGATTTCAATTTTGTGTTCTAGGTTGAAAAATACGAAAAAAGTGAAAAGAACGAGTAAAAGAGAGGACTGAAGTGTAGGTTTTTTTGTTCTAAGCGAGATAAGATCAAAGGAACAATAATGGAGATGATTTTTTGGGTCTAGGAACACATCTCCATATATAGTGCACGAAAAAAAAAAGAAAGGACGAGAAAAACATGTTTGGTCGCGCAGGGTGCCGCAGCGTAGAGGGTGCCGCACTGCGGCGCGGGGTTCTAGGCGCGGTAGGTGAAGCGGCGCGATGGCGCGTAGTGCCGCGGTACGGGGCCTGCCGCGATGCGAGGCTTGGGCGCCTGAGAGACTCTGTTCGGGTCGTGGCGCGTGGCGCAGCGGGCGCGGGCAGCGGTCTTGCTGCCGCAGTGCGGGGCTTAGCACCGCGTGGGGCCTGGGCGAGTAGGTCGGCAGCTCGCACGACTTTACGTCTCGGGTTTGTCCGAACTCGAATTGAATTTTGCCTTTTCTACTTCTCGCTAACAAACCCTTCTATTTAATTATGCTTGCCCGACCAATGTTTTCCTGAGATCCTATCCTCTTGGGACTTCCGTCCTATACACCATAAGCGAAGAAAAACCGAAAAAGCACACGAGAAGACATAGAAAACTAAAATAGAAGGGAAACAAGCAATAAACGACAAAAAAGAGCTAAAAGCCAACGAAAAGACCTAAAACGGGGGGAAAAAGGAAAAATAACAAGGAAAAACACAACAAAAATGGGACAAATAGATATAAACAAACACGTGCATACAATAGCTCATAATTTGATTCACCAAAAGCGAGATCCATTGTGCTTATTGTCTTCGTGTTTCGAGTAGTAGCGTCGTGTGTATGGTGTGTTGTTTGAATATTTAAGGTTACCGTCTGCGATAGTTTGATGTCTCCAAGATGGGCTGATGAAGGATTATTATGTTAAATCTGGCAAGTGAAACTTATTCCGACATAATAATAAATATTTGAGTGGTACTAGTCTCGGTATAGATGTCGATTAATTTAATTGTCAGTAATTAAATTAATTGATGGACATAATATCTTAAACACATGGAGATAAATCGGCTAATTATTATTGGAGCCTAGTGCAATAATGTTTTGTTTAGTGGACCAAAACATTATTTAAGTTATTGAGCAAAGTGGGCTTGGCCCACAGGTAGTCCCATGACATATGAAGCCCACATCATCACCTCCTTAGGGTCATTGTTTTATCCTATAAATACATCACATTTCTTGGGATTAAGGAGAAGAAAACTCATTCACGTACAATAGATATAGCTGCCCCTTCACTCCTCTTCTTCTCTTCTGCTTCTCCAAGTTACCCAAGTAGATATCTCCGAGATCGTCGCCCACCAAGATGATCGGAGAAGATGTTGGGTCAT